ATTGCTTGTTTGTATGTACGATTGAACCGGTGAAAGTGTAATTTAGTGGAAATAAATTTATTACGTATTTATTAGATGGTTTCGAAAGTTGTTGAAAATTGATTCAACTTAAAGTCAATTGCAAATGACATTTTGGACTTTTGTTTTTGTGCGTGCAATTTTTTTTGTGTGAGTGCTTATACTTTTATTTGATTTTCGATATTAAACAGGTGGTCAGTCGCACCGAGATCTAAAACTAATGGCCTTAAGTTACAATCGAAGTAGAGAAAAAAAAAATTCGGGAATTTCTTTATTTAATTAAACAATCCATTTGATTTTATTCAATTTATCTTCCTCAAACAACATTTTTTTCATTTCCCAAAAAAAAATGTGACAACAATGAATTTACAATGTGACGTCTCTGACTACCAAAAAAGTCTATTATGACTCAAAATTTGAAAATATTCGTACAAGGCTGTAAAAACACCTTTATTATTCTAATAGTGCCGAATGTCAAACAATCATTTTGGCGTGTATATCCATCGGATGGTGTCACATTAAATAAACATTTTATACATATACAAATGTACTGATAATGAGCATGAACGAACACGCACGTGAATGACGGAACAAACGTGTAGCAGTTTTTCGAATTGCGAAACAACAGGGGATATTGTCATGTTTACTATATATTTAATCTATTGAATGGATAATCAACAGAAACCTTAATTAATTTGATTTGACATCGTTTTTCGTTAATTTCCCCAGTCGATTCAAGCTTTGTATGAGAAAGCTCTCATGCATTACGTTTTGCATTTGAGTTTTTTTTTCAGTAGAAATTCTATCATCTTTAACATGTGTGGCAAATACTCATCTATGAAATTGTTGAACGATGTGTGTTATGTACCGTAAAATATCGTTCTGAAACTTTTTATCCGTAATGTAATGTAATGTAATGTACAAATATCACAGTTTTATAGTAATAAAGTTGGCAAGAAATGGAATTTAGTTTTAATAAATTTGGCCTCTCGTTTGGCCCTAAACGAAAGTAAATACGGTTCCACATCCACACACACATCCAATATGCACGATTCATTATCGTTTGAGAATGCAAGTCTGGTCGGTTTTCAATTCAGAAAAATCTTGTATATCAACAAGTTAATCGAAATATGTTTCGGTCGCACCATGCCAAATGGGCAATAAAAAATAATACGACGACTTCATTTTTGTTTTTGTGCCTGATCATCATTGATCGAGTCACGAAGAATGCTGACACACTAAGAATGTGTATACGCTCATTTTTAATGGCTATTCAAATTGTTTGGGTTTTATTTTTCTATTTGGAAATCGCATATATTACGCCTGCAAATTGATTCAGCGAAATAGAGAAAAATCCAAAGCAAAGAACACGGACTGATCTAAACATTTCAAAAACAGTATTGTTATAAATGACGTCGTTTTACATAAATGAGAACACACATATAAGTCATTTTCGGTGTGTCGTTGGTTTGTTTTTTTTTTTTATTTATTTGGCGGTGATTGCTGTCGTTGTTGCTTTTTATTTCATTCAAAATCTCGAACAGTAACTCGTAATTAATTTACAGAGTTGCGGTCGACAAAGATATAAGTGTGTATATTTGCCGGATAAATAATAACGGCTATAGCAGACAAAAAACGGCAAGTATGTATGAGCCAGCTGAGAAAAAAATTACATTAATTATACACAGTAAGCAGAAAAAAAGACAAAATGCGAAACTCAACGAACAAATATGGATTTTAAGGTGTTGGCCACATATAAAATGATGTGTGTGTGTATGCACGCCTGTGTGTGTGAGATTCAGTTGAAGTCAACGTTACTTCATTTTTATTATTGAATAAAACGAGACCAATGGTGATATAGAGATAGACGAATCTGAAATTGGTTGTTTTGTCATATGAGAGAATGATTGAATTCAGAAATGGGGAATGACACAACGAAAAATTATATACACCAACAACGTGGGAATGCACTGATTATTTGCAATAAACAAAATCTGCTGAGGGCCAATCACACTTGTGTGTCTATTCCCCAACTGTATATACATTATGCATATTATTGCGGTTAATACGCAAATTGCAAATATTTATAACTACATTATAAACATATAAATGGGCTGGGTAAGCTTTGTTGGTTTCCTAAAAATTAAAAGGGAAGCGGTTAACCGTATTCCGTGCATCTAATAAGACGTGTATTTCTCTATCAACTCATCTCTACTATTTTACACAACAGAATCATGAATTTTCAAAACCGAACGCAAATCGCATACTCCCCATCGACACATAACGTGCAAACAAAGTTAAGAAAGAAAAAAAAAAACGTTCGAATAATTGTTTTTTTCTCTCATGCAGTTTCATTGTATTCTAATTGTGGTCTTCGATCATTTTCTCAGCTTAGTAAGAACGACGAGCATGAAATAAATTCGCTGTATTTCCCATTCAAAACATTTTGTTGAACACTTTTTTTTCAGTTCCCCTTCATATTGTTTGGAAAGCCAGAAATAATGAAAGAAATGAACTAAAATACGCTTGATATACCGAGCCGCTTTGAAAATCGTCGAAGCATTGAAACTATCTTTGAATTTTGAATGCACATTAAAAAGCGAAATTAGTCGAATAACTTATGGAAAATGAATGAAGAATCACTTCGAAATAATGGGGAACCAGAAATAAAAAAAAGTTCGAGTCATATGAAATAATTCCATGGCAACTGTTTTTTTAGGTAAATCATACGGAGGAAGTAGAATATAAACAAAAAAAATGATCACACATGAAAGCAAGTCGACAAAACGCGCCTCACAAAGAGAGCACACATACATCCGAAAAAGTAATAATGTTTTTTTTCGTCGTTCATGTATCGGCCGAGATCGGTGCTTACGTTTGCGTGGTGACCACGATGTAAATGCTTAAAATTTACGCTGTCAATGCACTATACAATTCATTGTGTGCGCCGCAAGACATGAAGCTATAAAATGTTGTAAAAATATGTAACGATGGTATTTTTCTTTTTGTAGAAATGTGTGCTAACGAGTACATTTTCAATCTCATTTCAGGGAAATCGAATTGACTGGAGCACAATGTTTTTTTTTTCATGGTGCGATTTTTTTTTCGCTATATTTCCCCTCGCATTCATGTGTAATTTAAGTTCTGATTCTGAAAGTAATACCGAAAAATGTAATATTTTTCAGTACGCACAAGTGAACACACCAACATTTGTATATTTCGATTGTACACTGCACCTCATTGTGGTATACTGGTCACGGTAGCGTGCTTTTTTCATGATTTTTGTTGTAAAAAAATTCAGTTCGTGCATCAGCATTGACTTCATCGACTCTTTAGTTTTCACTGTGTGCACTGAGTGCTGGTAGCACCAAATTTCATTGTATTGGTGTTATGCTTGTTATATTACTGAATATGGCAGATTAGAAGAACATTCATTGCAATGGAAATGACGTAATTTCCACATTTTTTTTTCTTTTATCGTATGAAACACGCACATTAAATACAGAAAGCTCTTTCTCTCTATCTTTTCTCCATCTCACATTCGACTCGTCTTATTTTGCTGCTGTTGTTTTACTACATTTTGATTCTATCTTCTTGTATGTTTATTATTGTTATTGGTGTTTTTGTTTTGATGCTTTTTCTTTCGTTTTGAATCAAAACATATCTTTTTTTCACAGAACACGCTTAAAACGAGATGTGACCATGCACAAAATCGAGAAATTATATTCGAAAGAAATCTTCTACGGAAATTATGAGAAGAAAACATTGTGAAATTTGAAAAAAAAAAAAAAAAAAATCAGTAAAAATTTATGAAGATTGGTTTGTGTGTGTGTGTGTATCGGTCGCGCACTATTGACAAATTCAGTTTCGATATATTGTCGCGCAATGTTTTGACGACCGTATATACAGAATGTATATTTGGTCGACGTCGTCGCTGTTGTTTTTGTTTTGTTTTTGTCTCCAAATGAATAGGCGGGAATAAATGGCACAATGCTGTGAGCATCTCATTTTCAATATATCATTTTCAACGACTACTCTCTACTAACAATTGTGGAAATTGTATAAGCTTACATTCTTTTTCATATTGATGATTACACATTTTATTTTGTATGTCATTTCTGACGAATTTTCGCAAAATTCCACAAAAACGTGAATTGTAAAGGTTTGCGTTCTTGCAATTTCAACCTTATTTGCATATCTGTTGTTGTAACATTGTGTTCAGTTTGTACCACAACGAGTAACAAGAAATTACATTCTTCTGAATATTGTATATTTATTACACTGAACTATTGATAAATCGAGAAAAATGAAAGATTGTACGAGAGAGAGAGAGAGAGAGAGAGAGAGAGAGAGAGAGAGAGAGAGAGAGAGAGAGAGAGAGAGA